AAGCCATAGTTGAAGCTTGCTACCTTGTTGATATTAGATTTCTGAAGCAGGCCATCTTGAATCAGACCACGCAGGACATGCTGCATGACAAGCCCCATTCCCCCCTCCAAAATGTCATGCATGGCATCTGGAGGGAGTTGTGTTGTGATGTCAAACTCTGTTAGGCTTTGAAGTGCTGGAATGGCAGATATGCCGTACAGCGGTCGGTTTTGTGTTGGATTGAGAGCAAATGCTTTTAGGTGGCTCTCGTGTCCTGCGTAAGTTCTCATGATGCAGTTGGCCTCAGAGAGCAACTTATGCAGATGCCCGTACCGAGCAAGGCAAAAACGACATATGCGACCACTGCTGAAGCTGCATTGGAGGCCTGCCATTTTGTGCATGGAGAGGTTGTCTCCGGTGAAAGCAACTGTCACTACATTAAAATGCTTCCCTTGTGCATGCACACCATACTCATGAGCATAGTTTAAGTCTTGGATGAGCGGAGCAAGAACTCGATCCAAGCCATACTTCCTAACGTCTTGGTACTTGACAAGCAACAGAAGATGCACGGCATTCAATTTCGATCGTTGCCTTGGGTGAATGTTGATGATCGAGAAGTAGACAACCAGAATCTTATGCGACCCAGCTGCTGCACCCAGTGGATTGCTCAGCTGAAGCTCATCCGAGTACAGGAGGAGGAAGATTGTGGGTGTCCCACTGTCGATCTGCTGCAGGCGTTGGCTGATGAAGTCTCCATCAGTGATGTCCTGAAGCACTTCAGACTGTTCTATGGGCTGCATTACACTTTCCAGGATGTCGGGGCATGACAGCAGGTTGCTGAGCAGTTGTGAAACTGGTATGTAGCACATAATGTGTTGCAATGCTTGATTGTCTGTATGAAGAGGCATCACCAAAGGATTTGTGTAAGGCAGGTTCTCCATCACACACTTCTTTCTGAGGTAGGTGTTCTGGATCCCCGAGAAGATGTCCTCGACTATGCCTTCAGAATTTTGAAGAGAAGCCATTTTCTCTCTCACTGACACGGTGACATTCTCCCTCTCGAGAACCTCCCGGGTTTGGTCTGCGACACTTTCAAGAACTTCGGAAACAACGTTTCTCATCACTCGCAGGATTTCATCAGCAGTGCTATTGGCTAGCTTTAACTGCTCTGTAATCTTGAGGTGAAACAACGCCAACTGTTTTCGGAGAGCACTTCTGTCTTCTCTTGGCTCTGATGCAGAGGGTTGTTCTTGTGACGACGGACCGGGTGGGTGTGCGCGCTCGCATTCGGTTTCTGTTGCGGTTTCATCATTGGCAGCTTCTTGAAATCTGGCTTCAGTGGAAGTTGATGCCATGGCATCCTTTTGTTTTCGATAACAATGTTATTTATACGACCCATAACGTCGAAATGATGCGGCACAGCCGCCGATCCCACAAACGACTCTAAAGTCTGTTTCGCAGCTATGCACACTCATATGATGGACAACGCGTTTGATGGACGCTGCCAAGAAAGGACACTTTGGGCAGCGTATAAGATCTCGAGGCATATTGCACAGTCAGCCTGTTGACCATGACACAATCAAAGCTGTCATTCCACGGCGAAACCAGCTGACTTGCGCGGTGATGCTCGAGCTTGTCTTGTGGCAAAATCGTCAAGCTTCCAACCAGCTGGGAATACACACACTGCTTTAGCATGGAGTCAAATACATGAACGGATAAGTCTTCTTCGCACAGAGGCAAAAATCCAAAGGTTTGCCGAGGAACGCCGCGGGGAATGTTTCGTTTTCAGACTACCTTATCTGCGCGAAAAGCGCTTGGCAAGAATAGGCGTGCTCAATTGTCCAGTCTCTCCTGTCCTTCGGTGATCACGTGCTTTATAGCACGAATCATTTTTAATGGTATCTAAGGCATAAGTTATTGATAAAAGTAACTTAATTTTTTAAAAAAATATTTTTTATTATTACCGAAACGCCAAACTTGTATTTAATTATAAATACATAAATTGCGTAACCGCGCAGAGTGACTCCCCACGACTACGCCGAAGGACTCGCGCAAATGTCCCGCGCTTCTACTCTGGTTTCGGTTTCACTTTATTCATGGCAGATACGCGGCTCAGCAGCGAGAACATATTTTGAGTAGTGTCTTGAGTCGAGAAGATATGCATTATTTTTCGTAGCGCCACGTACCTTCAAGCGAGACAGATGGCTTCTGAAGTAAATATCCGAGGCCCCACCACCAACGTAATCTCTTCTCCAGAGGTTATTATCGTCATTCTTGTTCAGTTTGCTTGCACCTTTCCATTTGGTTTTAACCAAATTAACCAATCCGAAACCTGACACTGACAGCTGCAAACGTGTTGCCCATTTTCTTTTTATTTTCACGAAGAAAGAAGTTTGTCGCGTTGAGTTTGAATTCCAAAGAAAAACAAAATAGCTCAATAAAGCAAGGCATATTTGGAAATTTTACTGTAGTAATGTTACGCTCGTTCTCAGTGAACCCACGACTTTCGCAGATTCGCGCCATTCGCGCCCGAGTTCTGAACCGTGCGGTTGAGCCTGCTTCGAGCCGGGAATCGGGATACACATACAGTTGAGTCACCTGCGGCTACTTATATTTTGTATTTATTTGGTTTTATTTTCGTGCCAAGTCACCTGGCTCTTCTTTTAGACAACGATAACATGTTACGTTGTGTAGGCTGCTACGAAAAGTTCTGTCGGCCTTTGAGCTTGCCGCTCGGCGCAACCGAAACTGACATTAGGGATGCTTTCCGCATCAAGTTCCCGGAGATTACTTGGGACCTGGAGAGTGCCCTGATTCAGGTGTGTAAATATCTATATCTATATATATATTTCTTTTTGTCTTTCGTTTGAAACTTTTGGTACACAAAGCGAAATAGATATCTGTGTTGTCCTAAACATTTTCAAGTATAATGGAAAGGCTGTTGCTATGTTTAGGCATTTCAGTGAAACGCTTCCTTCGGTTCAACATGTGTGGTTTATTTTCATGATTATTAAGTTAAAAAAACGTAAATTACTTCACTTAAAAAAAAAACGCTCAGCTATAAAAATAAAGGGCCTGTTTGCTGGAAAAAAAAAGAAAAAGTTAGCTTTGATGCATAAATAATATGCATATACTAAAAAAAAGAAAAAGAAACTTGTACAATTTTTGCTAGAAATCCAGTCTGAATGCAGAAAGTGAAACAAAAATGTGATACATTTTGATGTCAAATTGAATGTGAATATATTTATAATTGCATGAAGTATCAGTATTAAATTCCACCAGAAACAGCCCGGCCAGTCTGAATGAATGCACTAAGTGAAGCAAAAATGAGGTATATCAGTGACAAATTAAATGTGTGTGAACGATAAATTGCAGGAATTGAGCACATTCATTGTGAGGAACATGCAATGAGCATTAATGAGCAGAAACAAATAGCAGAAATAAGTCACTGAGCACAAAACCTCTCTCTAGACACTTCATTCAGTTTTTTTCTTGATATCTGAAGAACAATCATGTTCATTTCAGAGGGCAATTGCCTTTACTGTTCAAAAGTTGGCCAATTTTCTCTCCACTCAGATCATTCAGTTTACTGTATATACATAGCCTAACATACCTCATGTCTTAGCATGTTGAAACAGATAAATTGCACTTCTAGAATGAAGTGACAGATTTTTTAACCCACTGTAAAAAACAAATAAAAAATATTAATTCAAATTTGTTTTTAGGCAGTAAGCATTGTTAGTTACTCAAGTTCTGCAAACCTGTTCTACAACAATTTAGATGAGATGCTTTGGCAATCTTGTATTGCAACCTATCTCCTTCACCAAATCTTCAGGAAGGCCACTCAATCTGCACATTTTTGGTACAGAAGTGCTACATACGGCACGTGCCTTCCAAAGTTTGAGATTGCAGATCTCCCTAAAGTTGGCTTCACCTTTATTAAAAACTACCTTTTTTCCAGAACTGCAGCTTCTCTGCAGTGTTTTCAATGGCGCTGAGCGGGAGAAAATTCTGCACATTGGTCCTATTATGTACTATCATGCACATTGGTGCTCAGAAGCTCCTATCCCCAAAGCTCTTCACCCATGGTGGCTTCAACTCGGTCATATAATTCAGTTTCTTTTTTCAGATTGCAGCTTCACTGCAGTATATCTAAATGGGCTTTCTAGTTTCAGCAGGGTGGATATCACATCTTTGGCACAAAAAATACCTTAAAAAAAATCACCGCTCAACATTTAGGTCAGGACACACGTTTGGAATATTGTGACATGGTTCTATTTTAGAATAATATACCAAAATAGAAGCATGTTTTCGAATCACTCCCCACTCAAAATGAGTCTAATGACATGATGTAGATAGTGTGCTAATCATTGTTTTGGGGGAAAGTTTATCTTTTAATATATGTGTCCTATCCAAGCACTAACCAAAAAAAGATTTTGGGAGTTCAGTGTCCTTTTAATTAGTAAGTCCTTCTATTCATTACGCAAACATCATCACATGTTACATGCTGTGTGGCTTACCATATATATATATATATATATATATATATATATATGTTCCATATTGTGCATCATGTTTAAAGTGACGTGTTAACACAGTGTTTTCCTTTTTTTAATTTTTTAACTTAGAGAAGATAAAAACAGATAAAAAATTTCCTTAAGAACATCACTAATAATATGTCTGTCATCTTCAATGTTTTCCAGGTCTATGATGCCCAGCTTGATGCGTACCTTGACTGGGATAAGGACACTGTTATTTACGAAAAATCAAGAATTAAAGTAATTCAGTTAGAAAGCAACCCCAATGAAGCCTCACTATCGTGCCAGCCAAGCACTAGTGCGACCAGTGTGGACAAGTAAGACTTCAGTTATAGCTGTCGAGAGCTGCACATCTTATTGGGATCTTACATTTGCAGTCCCGAGATGTCACCTATGTTGTCAGCACAACAGGAACTGAAGAAGCTTGATCCGACAACATACGTGTTTCCAAAAGCACCAGCATACATAGCCATCCGGCTCAGCACACTCGGTGAAAAGTCACTGGTACCCACGAGCCTCAGGAACAGAATAATTGAGTGGCTGTGTCACGACCTCTTCCGATATACACTGTAAGTGCCCTGCCCTTGCCAGAAATTTGATAAGAGAGCAAGTCAATGAATATAAGGGGAATTAACAGACAGATGCTATTTTAATTAGTGATGAGAAAAACTCAAGACCATGGACCACATCCGGCTTCTGAAACAATTTTCTGAGGCTCCTTACTTTCTAGCTTTTGGTTATCCGCAGCCTTGCCTTGCATGCTTGCTATCAATTGACATGCATGCCAGTCAACATTGCAGTTTCAATTGCACTCTTTTGGTATGCCTTCAGCTTACATGTCTCAACCCAAGTAGGCTCGCTCTCTTAAATGTTGGTTTGGGATGTGCAAATAATGTAGATAAAGAAAGGTTTATAAAAACTGCTGAGCGTTTTTCCAAAGTCTTTCGAAAACCCAGAATGTTAACACCTTTTTTGAAAGATCAGTATCTGTTTCTTTTGCCATTGTTGTTCTCGCAGACAAAGGTTGTGAAGTCGCTGATGGTGCCAATCTGAGTGATTGCCTCCCTAACCCAAAACATTGGAGGTTGTGTCCATTTATCACATTAGTCGAGCAAAGTAGTACTACTACCATTTTGATAGTTGACTATGTTTCCAGTAATAGGATGTTAATGTTTCACAAATCTGAAGATTCGCCACAAAACGTATGAGACAAGCTTTTAATGAGGAGCGCAAGTTCGTCTTCTCTTGGGCAGAGGTTACAGTGAAGGCAAAACGCCAAGCTCTTATTGGCCGATTCTATCAAAGCCAATCAAACTGCATCATTTTGACGTCACCGCAACCGCTGGGCAAGAAGCAGACGACTTGCTCTTTGCATGTACAATCCTTGAAAGCTTTGCAGATGCTAATTTGGGCCTGCGGAGCACCACGGTTGGCACCCTTCCCTTAATTACTAAATACATGTGGAGACATGAGGAAAAAATAGGGGACAGGACAACAACGTTTGAGACATTGTTGTCCTGTCCCCCTTTTTTTCCCCCGGGACACCGGTAATTATGCACCAGCAGCTCGCCTGCACCTCATATTTTGTTTCACACTTCCTTTCGTGGTTTATGCAATACCCACTTAAAGGTGTTTTTTTGTTTTTTTTTTAAACGTCTGCCTCTGCTGGAAATTGTTTTAAGTACTTTAGTTTCAATCACTGTCAGAAAAACATAAAAATTAAGATATCTGCTTTATTACGTTCGTGAAAACCTATGCAAAATCAAATAAATACCATAGAATATGAAGCATGTGCCTATGTCACAAGTGCCCACCCACTACTTTTGAAATGTTTGGAAACTGAGTAAAGGACATACCAAGCGACCTCCCCAGACTTTTGAACCCCCCTATACTTCGTCTCATCCTATGATGGACTAAAGGCCAAAGCCACGGGCCGCCAGGTCCAATCACGTTCCACGCTAAACTATGACACGCTTAGCATTGATTGGGTTTGGACGAATAATGCTCCGAATCCAAAAACGCTGCGTCATTTTTATAGCTTCGACACTGCAAAGAGCCAGCACGCCGTGGCTTTCTTTGCAATGTAAACTTTCTGAGTCACTCATTGCTCGATCCGAACCACTGTCCGCCCATTCCCATCAGTGATCCGAGACGCGAGCACCGATATGTGCTTCGAAGCGAAATACCACGGAATGTCTAAATGGATCGTGATTGGATCTGGCGGTTCGTGGCTTCTGCCTTTAGTCCATCGTAGGGTGAGATGAAGTATAGCTGAGGTGCTCACCCTCGTCAGCCGCTTCTCCACGCAAAACCGTGCAGAGTGGTGAAGCCTGCCCTATCAAGTATCCCTTCTGCATTTTGCCACTCAGACCTAACAGGCACTCTTCCCTCGAGTTTTCAAGCTTATATATACAAATCGCAGGTGGGCACTTGCTCCGTACTTTTATAATGCTCCAAAGTTACAAACATGAAAAGCACAAGGGCTCATAGAAAATTAAAATTCTCCTAAGGTACTACATTGTCCCTCCATGAACAACCTGAGACATGTTCTGTTTGACTTTAGTTTTACTCAAATTATTTGAAGTGTGATTCCCACTTTGGAACATTACTTCTTCAGTCTATAGTGCAATCTTGCTTCTTTTAGTTATCCCCAGCGCCTGTACGTTGAAGCGGCCAGGCAGCTTGTGATACAACATCGTGTACTGCGTGACAGAGTGGGCAACGGCTATGTAAGTTACTTTATATTCCAGAAAAAAAAAACTGCTCTACAACTTTGTTTTGGTGCCGTTTTATGCAGGGCTCCTGGCACCGAGCACTGCGCTTTAAGGTCAAGTTTGAGCGGAGTAAGATTGAAGATGTGGGTGTTGTTCAAGAGAACCGAAAAAAATTTTGAAGGAAGCACGCAGAGTCTGACACATGCAACGATGACAACAACAACTGTGCGAAAAGGATCAGTCGCAGGGTGAATGATTTTTTATTTATTTATTTAGTTTCTCTTAATGGAGAAACACTAGTTGCAGCAAAGCTCATGCTCTGCTGATTCTCCCCACTTGAGAGAAAGGACGCTCTTTACGTGACTGATAGCAGAGTCCAGAGAGCAACCTTCTGCTCCATGTATAGCACACCTGCCGAGACATAAGACATACCATAGATCAATACAGAGCAACTCCTGGCTGTAGAAACGTTCTTAAGAAATTCTACCTTTCTTTCCCTTCGAAGTAAGTAACATGTGTAAACGATATTCCACTTATAACGATAATAAGGAAACCCTAAAACTCAGTCGTTATAACTGATTATCGTTGTATCTGGACTAGAAACTGATTGTCTACTCTAGAAACTCTAGAAACTGATTGTTATAAGCAGTATATTGTTATAAATAAATTGAACTGTAATACTTGAGAGAACAAATTATAAATGACTTCCTCATTAAAAGCAGTTGAACTCATAATGTATGTCTTTTTAGTTTGGCTTGCCTCAAAAGAGAAGCAAGAAAATAGTCCTTTCAACGTAAGCTTTTTGCAGAAGCAGTGGGTGTGGTGTGAATCATATGCGCTGAATTTGGAAGTGCTATGTAAACTCGGACTTCACCTTTAAACTTCTATGTTAACAATATTCTGCAAAACGTTTGCCCTTTCCAGCCAGGGAATCTGGCAGCCATGGTTGAAGATGAATTGAGCATCAAAGCACACATTGACTCCATGCAGAAAGAGATGGCAAAAGCCAGTCCTGACACTGAGAAAGTCAGGGGCTCAATAAAACGAACATTTGATGCTCGTCGAAAGTGGATTGCCGGAGAGTGCCCCTCAGCAGCAGATATTTTTGAGACATATCCTGCACTGGGGGCGGTGGAGGAAGTAAGTGAAGAGCACTACAGAGCTAGACATTCTGGGCTGTAGCTGATGAGTCTTTGGTAACTACTTCGGTCCGGACCCTTTTCAAGGTCCGATCGGGGGAGGTTTTTTGCTTAGAACCCATATGAAGGGCAAAAACTTCGGCATCCGTAGCGCACCACCCACCGCGGAGTCCAACAAGGGGATAGGTAACATCTCATAACAGGTCTGGCTTGTCTGAGTATGCTACTCTACCAGTGCTACTAGGAAGCTATAACCAAGTGTGGATCAAGAGAGAGTTCTGTCGCCACCCAAGGTTAGCCCTTACCGCCAAAGAAGGTGAAAACGAAGAATAGGAGAAAGAAGGAAAGAGAAAGAAAAGAGGGGATAGTAGAAGAAATGGCGACTGACTGCATCATCCTGGTCGGGCCAAGCCAGGACACCCGTCTACGAGAAGCGGGGGCAAAAGTGGTGTGTTGCCTCACCCAGGGGGCTCCGAAGGGTCCAAACCTACCCCGGGTTCAGCTCAACCACCAGGATGCCCTTTCCCCGGACACGGGCTCGCCACGCACAGCCAGACGTGGGTGGGTCTTAGCCACTTTTTACTCAAGGTCTGTGATGTTGCCAATGTGGCTGGGGTCCGTGGTGACGCTACTCACCAAGCACCTAGCACACAAGGTGCAGGCGCCCCCTGCGGGGCTCGGGGTCCGTGGAGACGCCACTCTCCAAACACCTGCTTTCACAGGTGCCCCCTGCGGGGCTAAAAAAAAACAAAAAAAAAAAACAAACTAAAATAAGACTTTGACGAAGGCACGAGCAAAGCGGATTTTCTTTAAGATTTGTTTGCTCTAAACAAACTGCAGCTGTCGACGCCAGAACGCGCAGCGCGTGTACCTACGAACCCAGCATGCTTCTTGATGCTTGGGTAAATTAGCAAAGGGTCTATTTGTGCAATCACATGAAGCTCTAGACAAAGTCGCGTGGCCGCGCCAGTAGCTTCGAAAGTGTCGTAAGATCCTCACGGAGCGTTACTAATTTTACGCTTTAGATTAAATTGTTTTTTTTGTGCTTCTGACAACCACAGAATTGTAAAACATACTTGAAGCGGTGAATGAATCCGCCAAACCTGTTCTTCTTTTTGTGACGAGTTTAGATAAAACCAAACATATGTTCCGGTAGTTTCTACTGTATACCATGCATTAAACGAAGTGTTAGAATAAAACTCCGTTTCACTTTCAAGCTTAGAACAAACAAACAAATGGGTTGTAACTTGTGTGTATGTTTATACAGCCTGGAACTTGGTCTGCCTCGACGGGCGACGAGTCTCCCAGCCGTAGATGAGAAATTTAGCCAGTGCAGTACAACCGCTAGCCTGGGGTACACTCTAAGAAAAAAGGGAGGAAAAAGGCAGCAACAGAGCATCTTCGTCCCTTCTACTGACGCGCCCCCAAGCGGACACAGAAAGAAGGGAGGAACAAGATCTCTTCTTCCCCCGATAGGCTGACGGGAGGATACTTCGACCCTAATGCCCTGCGGCGAAGGCCGTCTATTCTTCAATCTCAAAACCCAAGCACGCACACTCAGAAATTATTTCTGCAGTGCCGTATTTACCGTTCGTTTTGTGAAACGGAAACGTTAGAAAGAGCGACGTTTCCAAACGCTTGAAACAGTGCTACGTACAATGGGCCTAGATATGGCGGCGTCCGCAGTCGTAGTGGTCGGGTCGGTCTGCTGCAACATTTGCTGCCGCAGCGAATGTTTTATCTATCGGTCATAAAAGTCTGGTTCGCGTGTGCGTCTCCTGTGCTACTTTGGATTTTGTTATCCGTCACTGAGTGCCCACCGACGAGGAGCCTGGAATGGCAATGGTGTTTGTTGTGAACGAAGACGTGAACCGTCGCCGATGTCGCCGTGTGTTTTGCGTACCAGCGTTCTAACGACGAGATGACGTGTGTTCTCTTTTATATTAGAGTTGAATTAAATCACTCGAGAGATTACGATACAATCTATCGCTGTAGCGTATCGACTCAAACGCTAACTGCGCAAGCACATGAGGCGCGGGACCGGACCAGCGTTCCGCATGCCAGGCAAGCGCATTCGAACACCGAGCCGCCACCAGCCGAGCAACCTTTGTCATGCTTACCTTTTATAGTAAAACCCCATGGCGCTGTTAAGTACCGAGCGAGACAGGACACCTTGGTGGGCTTAGCGCGATGCGCCCCGCTTTACTAACTCAGATATGTACAACATGGTCCTGTTCGAGAAGGCTCGGCGTAGAAGAGGCCGTGGCTCGCGTTGGCACGCGCAGGTGCGTTGACCCATGCTCGCGCTCCGCGCTCTCTCAAGATACACTTCAGTACACACCTTCCCCCTAAAATTAATCCTGCAAGTACCGAGGACGACGCTGTACACGCTGTGGGCGTCCTAACGAAGAAACACCTGGAGTTGGATTTGGAGACTGCGGATGCGATGTTGACAAGTTATCCTGGACGGACTCTTTCGTACTCGACGTGACGTCCGGCCTAACGTCATGGCCAGTAGTTCCGAGGTCTGGCACGTCGCAGCTGCCCCTCAGACTAGGGTTTGGCATATCGCATATTCTACTTCGGATGTGATTGATGTGTCGCCGCCACACACGTCAGTCTTCAAGCTGTACCTGGTAAGACACAGGTCCCAACTTGCATAAAATCTCCACTGGCAACCAGCGGTTCCCGCTTGCGCTGAAATACATTGCAAACACGATGCTTCCTTGCGCGAACTGTCGAACAGCCTTCCGACCGTCGATATCGAAAGATGCCTCCTGGCGCTGGGCCATGACTGACTGTTCATCAGGATGTAGCTGATCCAAGGCTGATCGGAGTTGTCGACCGAACAGAAGCTCCGCAGGGCTCTTTCCTGTTGAGGTGCTTGGAAGAATGTGTAGCTTGAACAAGAACCTGGCCAGACGAACGGACCAGTCCCCTCGAATTATTTTTTTCAGTGACTTCTTCGTCTCCTGCACCATCCTTTCGGCTTGGCCATTCGAAGATGGGTGATACGGTACCACCAGGACTTGACGGATGCCGTTTCGACGGAGGAAATCCTTAAAATCACCTGAAGTGAAGGCAGTACCATTGTCCGAATCCACCACGTCCGGCAGTCCGTGCGTAGCGAATAAGGTACGGAGTACAGTGATCACAGCCGAGGCGGATGTAGATTTTACTCGCAGGACTTCCAGCCATTTGGAGTGGGAATCCACTACGATAAGAAAATACTCGCCCTTGAAGGGACTCGCAAAGTTGACGTGCAGTCTCGACCACGGTCTTGTCGTAAATTCCCACGGTGGACGGGGGGCGCGGGCTTGAGCGTTTCGGGATTCCTGACACGGAACACAGCACCACACTCGGCGTTCTATATCTTTGTCAAGGCCCGGCCACCAGACATAACCCATTGCAAAACCCTTCATCCTCACAACCCCCGGATGACCACTGTGCAAGAGGTCCAACACGATTTCCCGAAGAGGTGGGGATGTGATGACACAGCTGCCCCAGAGAATACAACCATTATAGACAGACAGTTCGTCACGGTGAGAGTAGTAAGGCCTGAAAACCTCTGGAGGTTTCTCTGATGGCCAGCCGTGCAGGATCCAATGCAGTACCTGGGAAAGAACGCAATCTTTCTTCGTCAAAAAAGCCACTTGTTTTGCGTCGATGTGTACCTCCGGCGTTGATTCAATGAGGAGAACATCACAAAGAGGAGGTACCTCAAAATCCTGAATCTTCTGAGGAAGACGGCTGAAAAGGTCAGCGTTGCCCATCTGTTTCTCAGGTCTGTAAATGAGTTCATAATGGTACTGGGCTAACATCAGGCTCCAGCGCAACAGACGCGGTGATAGAACCTGAGGAATTGGCTTGCTGTGGTGCAGTAACCCCAGAAGAGGCTTGTGTTCTCTAAAAATCTTGATATGTCGTCCATACAAGAACTGATGAAACTTATTCACACCAGCTACGACAGCTAACGCCTCACGATCCATCT